GACAGGGCTGCAGCGCTCCCAGTCCCAAGGGAGCGACGCAACTGGGTGGCTCCGCCGGTGAGCACTCCCCCGGGTGGGGGGGGGGACAGGAACACCACGTGCCCTGCCCGGGGCACCGACAGCTCAGTGTCCTCACAGCCTGCCACAGAGGTGGTCATGTTCCAGTCCTGGGGACCCACTGATGCTGGGGGACAACCCATTTTGCCATGGGAGATTTTAAGGCCCTTCCCAGGGTGACCCTATGGTTGACACCCCAAGATTGGGGTCCCCAGGGGAGCACCCAATGGGCTGCAAAGTCACCTGGCCCAAAGGCTCTGGGGTGGCAGGCAGAGAGAGTGGTCTCCAGCACCTCTAGGAGGGGGGGGTCAGCCCTGGGCCCTGCACCCCCCATCCACCCACCAGCCCCCCCATTTACTGCCGGCTCCCCGCCACGCTTGGCCGATAACCCCTGGCAGGGGTTGGCTCTCCACCAAGAAGGAAGGAGGAAGGAACAGCCTCTCGCTGCCGCCTTGGGGTCCCGCGTGCTAACCCTGCCCCAGCCCCGCTGCTGGCACCGCCGCGGGGACCTGCGTGCAGCGGTTATCTGTGCCATCGCGGCAAACGCCCACGCAAGCCCGGCTGGGGGCAGGGGGTTTGTTCCTGCATTGGGCGGTGGTGCTGGGCCTTGCCCTGGGTTGCAGGTCACCTTCCACCAGGGACAGAGGCCAGGAGCACCCAGCCGTGCAAAGGGACCCAGTGGGGCCGCTCCAGCAAACACACGTTTGCTTCTTCACAGGGCCTCACCTGGCTCCGGGATCATTTTAAGAGGGAGAAAGAAGCTGGTGAAGGTGGTGTGCCTTCCTCACTTTACTGACAGCTGTCCCACCTGGCCGCCATGCCATGGCAGCTGCACCTTAGGTGGGGAAACTGAGGCACAGAGCACCCAAAGCACCTATGCCTGGCCATGCCCGCAGCAGCACCAGCACACCTCCCCGTCCCCAAGCTCAGGGAGGGCCAGAGGACCAGAGATGAGCAGAGCCATGGGTGCACATGGCACATAGGTGGCGTGGCCACGTACCATCTGCCACAGAGAGGGACCCACAGCCATGCTGAGACAGCCCTTCATGCCAGGCGACTCACCACGTGTAGTAGGGTCTCTCCTCTGCAGCCACCAGCTCTGGAGCAGAGGGCATTCTGGGGACCGGGTACCACCAATGCCCACAGACCCAGCAGGTTTGGGCACGGAGGTCCTCCTCCACCTGCGCGAAGACCCCTCTCTGATGTTGCTTCAAGGTGGCACCTCAGGGAACACAGCTAAGGGTCTCCGACACCTACCTGGGGGGGGCAGTTAGCACTGCCACCTGGCCTGGGACGCCATGGGGACCAGCTCCCCTACCTCCCCACCGGCACCTGGCTGCGGCAGCGCGGTGCACCCGGTTGCACAACGCCCCTCGCGTGGGTGGGGGCGCGACGCAGGTCCCGCCACTCCCTGCCCAGGCATGAGTCAGGCGGCGGCCGGGAGCCGAGTGGGGCTCCCCTGCACAGGGGCATCGCCGTGGGCAAGCACTGCCTGCTCACAGGGGTCAAAACCATGGCCGGCCTTCAAGCTTTGGGGATGGGACAGCATGGGACCAACTCCAGCAGCGCCGGAGACCTTTGCACCCCAAAAGACCCTGGGAGCCAACACCGGGGGGGTTTATCATAGAATCATAGAATGGTTTAGGTTGGAAAGGACCTTGAAGATCATCGAGTTCCAACTCCCCTGCCATAGACAGGGACACCTTCCACTAGACCAGGTTGCCCAAGGCCACGTCCAGACTGGCCTTGAACACCTCCAGGGATGGAGTCTCAAGAACATGCCCATGGCATACAGCTCCCTGGGGATCCCCAGTGCCTGCTGGGCACCACAGCACACGTGCACCCCCTCCCCAGTACCCGCGCTCCGTCCCTGCACCAGGTCCCGCCGGTCAGAGTCCCGGCTGCCTACAGGGAGGAACTGGCACCCATGGAAAGAGACACGACCTGTCCCTGTGCGCTGGCAGGGATGAACCTGGGAGACAGCCACAGGCACCCTCCTCCTCTCCATAGAATATTTTTTTTATATATATAATATATATATATATATTAAAATTACATTTCTCTTTACAAAAACAATTCAACAAGGGGCCAGGGGACGGAGCCCATCGCCGAAGCCAGGGCGCAGGCACCCTGGCAAGTCTGGGGCACTGGGCAGGCTCCCTTTCGGGGTGTCCCCTTCCCCCAGTCGGGGGCTCAGGCCAGAGTCCAGCAGCAGGTTGCGTGGGTGGGGGTGGGACCCGAGGGGGTGGCCCTGCAGCGAGACGCCTGCTCCGAATCCGACGCAGCTCGTCCCATCCCCGCTGTCACCGCCTGTAAGGAGAGGAGAGGACATGAGCGCAGGAGGAGCAATGGTGCCAGCTGGCCAAGAGTGACAGCTGGCAGCGTGACATGGAGACACCCCCCTCAAAAAAACCCATCTGTGCCCCTACTTCTGGCGGGCGGTGCTGTAGGGATCAAGGAGGTGGGAGCTGGCCTGGGCCAGGTTCCAGTCGAACATCTCCAGCACCCGGTGGCATTCAACACGGGACTTCAGCCCCAGGCAGAAGAGCTGCTCCACCTGCAAGGGGACAGGGAATGGTGAGGGGGGGTGACAGGGGTGCCATCACTCTCATGGAAGCCAGGGCAGAGGGACAGGGGTGTGCGGTACCTTCAGGTACTGGACGGCCCGTTGGACACTCCAGCCATGGTTCTGCAGGGCCGCCTGGCACTCCTCAGTGGTCACGCCATGCACCGTGTCCTGCACCTGGGGGGAGCTTTTGATCAGCACCTGCCACCACCCACAGGTGAGGAGCCCGTGGCTGGAGCAGGGGGTCAGGGGGGCTGCCCCTGACCGTGGCTCCATCCTCGGGGAGTACTGTAAGCCCAGAGCTGGGACCATCCTCATCCCTGGGATCTTCAGCCTCTCCTGGGTGCAGGTGCAGACTCCTGGCCACCATGGACCCAGTCCAAGAGGACTGCAGTGACAGCCACCTTCCTTCCCCCTCCCTCCCTGAGGCCATGAGTAGGGCTAATTTGGGTTAAAAGGGCTGTGATCCCCATTTTGGAGTTGTGGTGTCACTTATGTCCCACACCACATCTGGAGACCTCTTGTAGCCAACCTCCCTGGGTTGAACTTGGGGAAATCGAGGCATAGGGTGGGGATGGCTCCTGTCCAAGGGAGCCCATGGCCACCGTGTCCCCTCTTGCTTACAGACACCGAAGATGGTGCTTACCAGCCGGATCTTGTCGGCAGGGCGGCAGCCATCCGGCCCATCGTAGACAATCTTCTGGAGGCTGCAGGAAGCTTTCACCAGGCACTTGGGCCCAGGGTTGCTATTGTTGGAGGAGAAGTTGGCCTTGCAGTCTGGCGGCGGCTGCTGCACCATGGGACGGACGGTGGCTGTGGTGACCAGGCGGGATGCTGGCACCTCCTCAGGGCTTTTGGCCTCCTTGAAGAACTTCTCATACTTGTCCAGGTAAGCAGGGCGCTCGGGCAGCAGGTAGTAATGGGTGCTGCTGACCTTCTGCCCATCCTTGACGATGGGCAGGATGCAGGGTCCCTTGGAACAGTCCTTGCCCTGTGCCTGGATGACCTTGGGGGTGGCATACTTGGGGTCAAGGGCGAAGCTCTGCGTGGTGGGCATGGGCTTCCCCGGCGAGGTGGAGAGGCAGGAGCAGAGGGCAGCACGTTGCTGGGGGGAGCCCACCTGTGGGGCCATGGGGCTGGGCGTCCGGGAGGTGGGCTGCGACAGCGGGTCCCGGGGGGGAATCTGAGGCGGCCGGTCTTCTTCACCCCCTGAAGCTGGGGAAAGCTCCCCCGACCAGCGCCCAGGCTCGTTGCGGCGTAGGGGCCGGGGTGGGATGGGGATGCGGGGCGGGATTTGGGGTTTGTCGTCGGCAGGGGTGGCTGGTCCCAGGGGAACGTTTAGCCTCTTCATGCACTCCTGCTGCAGCTCCTCAAAGAGCTCGGTGGTCTGCGTCAGGCTGGGCTGCTTGATCTCCTTGGGGGGCAGGAAGAGGTTGTCCTCCACTGCTGGTCCCCTCTCGCCCTCATCCACAAAGCCATAGTTGGTCTTGCCCCGCCGGCTCGGGGGG